AGAAGGATCACTCTGTTGGGTCAGGAGGTATGGACTGACGTATTCTAAAACGTGTTATGCATGTATTTGCTTTCTAAGGACTTGAGTTCTTAACGTTTGGCTGTGTGTTTTCTTTTCTATATTTTGTTTTTGTTGTTCCACTTAATTTGATGTGTGTTTGGACTTCGGATTGTTGAATAAAGTTGTGATTGGGCTTCGGATTGTTCTGATTGTTAAATAAATCTGTGTTTGGACTTTATGATGTTATATTCTTACTGTTGTCATCATCCCTCAACAAGAGTTATAATTAATGTTACGTCCAAGGGAAGATCATGGATATGATTCTTCTTTTCCTGAGCTTTAATGAATGTTTTCAAAACCCAGAAAAGGAAAGACGATGGACCTAACTTTTTTGCTTCACTTTTATGGACTCCAAATTATTAAAAGAACCAGACGGATGGTTTGGGCCAGGGTTTTCCTGATTTTGAGCCATAGAATCAACTCCTCTTTTTATTTTTTCATTGTTCTGTTTTTGCCTTCCATCTATTCACTCTACATTCAGCCATCATTTTTTTTTATTTTTTTTGGAGGGGGTAAAAAGTATTTAGCCATCTGATAACCTTCATCTTGGTTGAAAACTGATATAGTGATAGATGCCTTCCGATAACAATGAAACTATGGAACTATTGTCCCTAGTCACACCAAAATATTTATAGACTATGGATAAACAATTTTCCCGTGCCATTTCCATCTTAGTTTTTAAAGTTAATCAAGACCACAGCACTTGGTAGTTGGCATTCAGCTAATTCAACTTACATTCAAATTCTTATCTTAAGCATGTCATGTAGACCACTTAAGACAATGTAATACGTTTAGCCAGATGTCATAGGAAGACCTAGATGTTCTGCTGCGGTTACAAGGTTTTATGAATTATGCAAGAGAGCTGCACTGAATTTTCTGAGATTCCAAGACAATTCTTGTAGTTTCTACGACTACTTGTCCGTTGACATAGTGCTGTCGACATACAGGCATGTAGACATCAGCTCCGCCAATCAATTCTGTTTGTGTCTCCTCAGTCTTCCTTAATAAAAAGGATGCTCGTTTCCCACAGAGTTCACATCGGGCAGTTAACTTTGTCACGGAATCAGCCAGGCGAATTATATCGAGCACAGAACCAAAGCTCCTTCTGCCAGGAATATTTGAGTGCACCATGAAATGTTAGTGGGAATGTATAATCTTAGTAATGGGGGAAAAGGAAACTCGATGAAATGGCAGTAGATTAAATTAATACCTCAGATAGTCACCATCTAGGCCTGCAACAATCACAGTTTTGCCATCATGATCAGCAGCTTCACAACAGAAATCATAAAGGTCTTCAAAGAATTGAGCTTCATCAATACCAATAACGTCTAGCTGTCGCATAAAATGTTTGAGTACATATTCCACAATGTGTGCACAGAAAACTGAAAAATTTTCACAAAAAATAGCCATGCATTATAGACCCAAATTAAGAGGGCAGAAAAGTTCCAGCATTTTTCCTAGCAAACTTGTTTTGTCATATATTCTGTAGAGGGAACCTGTTTTACAGTCTGGACTGCACCGGACTGTAAAACAGGGACCATTGGATGGGGGGAGAGCCCCCAATATCAGGGGGCCCACCCCCATCCAATGGTTAGCGTAGTGCACTCTGGTGCAGTCCGTACTGCACTACACTTTTTTGTTCAGTAGATGCCATTAAACTAGTAGATAGAATCAATATTAAGCA